GGTAGGCCAGTGTAGGTAGGGGTAGGCCAGGATAGGGGTAGGCCGGGGTAGGCCGGGGTAGGGGTAGGCTGGGATAGGGGCAAGTTGGTGTAGGCCTGGGTAGGGGTACGTTGGGGTAGGGTTAGGCCGGTGTAGGCCGGAATAGGGTTAGGCCGGGATATGCCGGGGTAGGGGTAGGCTGGGATGGGCCAGGGTAGGGGAAGGCTGGGAAAGGCCGGGGTAGAACGGGATAGGGGTAGGCCGGGATAGTGGTAGGCCATGTAGGTAGGGTTAGGCCGGGATAGGGGTAGGCCGGGGTAGGTGTAGGTGGGGGTAGGCTGGGTTAGGTGTAGGCCGGGATAGGCCAGGGTAGGGGAAGGCCAGGGTAGTCTGGGATAGGGGTAGGCCGGGGTAGGCCGGGATAGGGGTGGGCCGGGATATGCCGGGGTAGGCCAGGGTAGGGATAGGCTATTGTAGGCTGGGGTAGGGGTATACGTGGTAGGCTGGGGTAGGGGTAGGCCAGGGTAGGCCGGGGTTGGGGTAGGCCAGGGTAGGCCAGGGTAGGCTGGAGTAGGGGTAGGCCAGGGTAGGCCAGGATAGGGGTAGGCTGGGTAGGCTGGGTTATGTTTAGGCCGATATAGGTGTAGGCCTTCTACCTATTCTCTTGTTGTTTTCCTAATTTCCTTTGCTAAACTCTCTTGTTTATTTTTTAATTTTAACATCTTAATAATCATTGGTTATACATCTAGTCACTTTGATAACATCTATGCTTATATGTCTGGATATGAACCTGAATCTGACCAGATGTATTTTTGAAAATTAGTATGTATTCTTTTCTCAGCAGGTGTTGTGGCTTAACCTGCCAGGCAGTCATTCACTTATTCCCTACTCCCAGTGGATGTTTCTGCTAGGACAGGTCTATTTAATCTTTTTGGGCAACAAAGAGAGAGAAGCTAATTTTTAGACAGCAGTTTACACAAGCTCAGTGATAGAGACAATTGTGAGAAGTGACTTGCAAGAGAGTATTATCCATATGTGTGATAATGTAATGTTGAAATTTTCAGTAAAATACCTTGAGAGTAGATAGATGAGGGCAAAATGTGACAAGGACGATGACATGGAGTATATTCTAACATGTAGTTTAGAGAGAAAATAGAAAATATTTTCAATAAATTAATTCATACATATAGGAAGATTTTATTAGTGCTGCCACTTTTATAGCAACCTGAGTACTGTTCATGTGTTTGTCGTACAAAAATCCACGTGATTCTTATGGATATTAGAAGAGATACAGGCTCTTCCATTGACCAATGTGTCTTTCCCATACACTGTATATAAACTGAATTCATCATTAAAATATTAGCAGTTACATATAATGTTAATATTATTTCATGTTTAAAATCCATGTTATATTACTTGATAAAGTTCTCACCTACAAAACACTGTTTTTCAACATAGTCACCACCACTAGCTATGCATTTTCATTAGTGATTAACAAAAGGCTGCATGCCTTGCTCGTATAAATCTGCACCAGTGGAGATGACCCACTGTTTCACAGCTTCTATGACAGTTGTTGCTAGGGAAATGTTGCCACTGATGGGATGCAACACCCACAACTTCATTGTGCTAACATCTACTGTTTGGTCTCAAATATTCAGCGTCAATGGGTGCAATTTTTTTTTCTGTATGGTGGATTTCAATTACACACCTTTTCTTCACATTCACTTCCATGTAAGACACTATTTTGTTAAACTGCCTCTCTTCTGCCATTTGTCACACAGTAAAAATTTAATAGAATATTAGTGGAAAAGTTAAGTGTCTACTGCCATATCACTAACATCTGCCTCTGAATTTGTGGGACAACACAATGAGGTAGGAAGAATTACTTTCAAAGCAGCCCTCCTATTTTATCTCAAGGTCTTTTCTGTCTGAAGCAACAAAGTATGGAAGATTAGTGTTTTTATAAAATAAACAATAATTTATTATATGGATAGTTCATCACTTGCAAGTTCCTATTATGTTCTTTTTTTCCTGCATCATCATGAAGATGCTGTATTTTTTTTTTTTTTAGACAGTCATTCTGCACAGTATTTTAATGTTGGCATTGCTGAGCAGGTTAGGCAATAAATGCTAACTTGTGATTTTAATTTTTTCTGTTATAGGTCCTGAACTATATTCTTTTTCTGAGAAAATTATTATTGTAGGAGCCACTTCAAAAAGGAATAAGGACTGTGACTAAATGTACTGAAAACTCTTCAAAGCAAATATCCAAAGACTAGAGAAAACTAGTATACTAAGACAAGTGGTCTGTAGAAGTTCAAACAAGTATAGTGGAAATTTCAGAACTTATTCTTTCATAAGCACTTGTGATACTTTGAGATTGTAAGGGCTAAAAGCAAAACACAGTACGAAGTACTACAAAAAATGCAATTTCTTTTATAACCAGATAAAAATCTTTTACCTACGTATTATGAATTGTAGATTTTCACAGTTTTTTTTTGTTTTTGCTTTTGGTTGTGGTTTTTTTTTTGGGTTTTTTTTTTTTTTTTGGTGGTGGTGGTATAGTAATCACTAGAAGCACTGCAATGGAAATGTAGTATCATATATTTATAAAGGAATGCAATTACTACTGACAAAGACTACAGTAACTCAGCAGTGCCTCATATTCTGCAGCCAGTACTAGTTCTTGCAATTCAAAAAAGACACAGATACACTGGAGAGAATTCAAAGTAGAGTCATAAAAGTGGCCAAAGAGCTGAAAAACCTGCTCTCTGAGGAAAGACTAAAGATCAGATCTTTTCACCTCAGGGAAGATGCAGGAGTGACCTCATCATGTAATTCCAACACCAAAAAGCAGATAGAGAATAGAAAGTCTTTCAATATTAGGAACAGAAAGGGAACAAAGGACAACCAGTTTGAGTTGCACTTGAAGAAGTTTCATCTTGATATAAGAAAGAAATATTACAAGTGAGAATAGTTAAGCACTGGAACAATCTTCCCAGGTTTGCGGTAGTATCTCTATCACTAGAGGTTTGGACTGAACAGGGTGGAAATTTAGGCACTCTTTTCCACAAATGCTGAATAAGGTGATTTTTCAAGTTCTGTTTCCACCTGAGCCATTTTCCAATTTTAAAATTCTATGGATACTTTCTTTTATTTGCAAAGAGTTTTATTTTTATTTGTTCATATGGAAGAGAATTAACAGCATTAAAACTTAGAAGTTTTGCTCAACATTCTAGCTTTGTGTAAAAGCAGAAAAAGTAGTCAGTAACCTAGTCTGTTGCAGACACTGATGAAGTAATAAGCACAAATAGTGTTATTGTATCACCACAGTATTGTACACACCATTGTATCACCATCCTCTGAATTGATGGATACAAGGTTTTAAATCCCAGTCCCTAGTAGTTTTGTTATAAAGATGTCTTACTGTCAAACTAAGCACTCTTGTATTCTTGACTGTTTTTAATGCAAAGAAGAAAAGACTAGATAGATCAGAATTAAGTTCGCTTCAGCACATTCTGGTTTAAGGACTGCATCTTAGCCAATAATCAAATTCTTACAGGCTGCCAAGGTGGGTACTGCTTATGTCTGTAGGGATCTAGCTGCTGGTCAGCCTTGCATCATCATCATGGCAAGTGAGTCCCTCCAGAATGCAGTTTAAATGAACAACTTCAGTCTTTGTTCCGCCATGAGAGGAACCTTTTCAAGTACATCCAGATCATGACACCAAACATAAACACAACAACAATTCACATCAAGATTGATAGCAGCACACCTTCTATCACACTAAAACACACTTGTATTCTATTTAACTGAAAAGAGATGTGTTTTTATATATTATATTATCGAAATGTCAAATGTTTAGATTCTGTCATAAATAAAGAACTTTATTAATAATTCCATTTGTGTCCATCATTTCAAAGCTTTTGAATGTGCTAGCTGATGTTTATCAAATTGGACACAGGAATAAAATTCATTTGAGACATAATTTGTGCTTCCTGTCGTCTTTCAGAGTCTGCTTGAATAGTCAAATTACAGAAAAGTACTTGCCTCTAAACTGTTTCTAATGTGGCTAAGGACTAGTCTATGAGTTCAGTTAGTAGTTTAACATTAATAAATAATACGATCCAAGTAATACTATTCATTGTTCTTGGCTGTCTGTTATTTCTCTCCTACTCATTATACAGTTATCCAAATTATATATTACATAATTGGAAAGAATACTGCATTGCCACAGTGTTCAGGTGTCATGAACAGTCAGTGTTTTAAGTGTTTTATTTCCTTGGCTTCCGTTCTGAAAAGTGCATTTCCCAAATAGTTCTCTTCCTTGAGGAACCTACCTTAAATAACGTATGTGTCA